ACGGGGTTCGGTTAATGGTGAGAGGGCAGGCGCGTGCTGACCCGTATTGCGACCGCATTCTGGCCACAGCCTGGCGGCGCGGACGAGCTAGACGCCTATGCAGACAGGGAGCGGAGAGCTCCCCGCCGCCAGGACGGACACACACGGACACGGACAGGCGTCCGTGGACACGGAGGAGGAAACGGGCGTCGAGGGAAGGAGGCGGAGTCGTGCGACACAGAGAAAGAAAAAAGCAGTGTCGCAGGACTCATGGGTGTGTACATATCTACAATGAAGTCCAGAAATTCCATAATATTACTCCACGAATGAGTCGTCGAAGTAGCAAAGATAGAGTATGATGAATATTGAACGAAATTTGCGGGTTGGGAGGGAACGTCACTGGGAACCGCGGACCGCAAAGTTGACCTCAGTTTGATGAACTTGCCGAACTAATCGATTACGTGTGCTCAGTCAATATCTGGTTCGCATATTATACTAGCTCATGTTGTTAGCGTAGGCGCTATAAAGACAGTTTTGACTAATTGTGTTTAGTTAGTCAGTGAGCATAGTTTTGACTTGATTTTGAATTGCTCCAAACGCGTCCATTTGTTGACCGAATTCATTTCCGTCTTTTTAAGCCTTTTTGATGTCAGAGTATATATAGCTGAATTGTCCGCAGACAAGGCTTCTGGTGAGCTCGTTACGCATTTATCGCACAATGCAACTCGTAGCATCCCTGAGAAGAGCAATAGGGCAGGGTTGGTTCCAATAGCTTTCTGTCTGCGTCACATTCGTTCATTGACGCCTGTTGTTCCTCTCCAAATCAACATAATGCTTGCTTGGTGCTTATTAGCACGAGTTTGCATGCTGAATGAGTCTTGTTTAAGCTACTGAACAGTTTTTAACTTGGTCGGCCCAACCTGATTCGGCTGTCACGCCCTCTAGAGGGCACAATCTTTGCAACCACTGATAAAAGGCGCATGCTGTTTTCAGCAGCCAGAAGCTCAATTCATCAAAAATGGTCCTACCCAGAGTGATAGGTATTTGCATATAAGCTGTTCGGTAAAGAAGGCCTTCCTTGCAACATTGCAACATCGCCACGGTTATTTTCCTATACTCGATCAGCATGGATATCGCAGAATTGAGAAACACCTGAAGGGCACTGACAAAAAACCGAGTACAGAACGCGACAACCCTACGTCACAGCGACCTGAGACCAACGGGTACTGACGGAGGCGAAAACAGGCGAAAACAAATCGCATCGATGAAAGTGGTGGTTGATGTTCGCAGACAGTTTCGCGTTTTCGCGCACAGACCAACCATAGGCACACTTGTTTTATGGTGTTTTGAGTACCGATTTCAAGTATCAGCAGCCAAATTAAATGAATAAATGAGGCAAACTGTATGATGCAGTTGCATGCACTGGCTGCAGTATTGTTCGTAATACTTCGGTCACCATCGCCCAAACCACAAATCACTATTAAATTCCCGGCTGCGGCAACTGGCATTGCTTGACCTGAGCAGAGCTATGCCCAGCCAGTCCTCAATAATTTGAGTTGGGAACATTTGTTAAGTAACTCACCACACTAGGTGAGTGAGTCCCCGTCTACTCCACTCTCTTGAAAGGCGGGCGTTTCAGCGCATCGATAAGCCCGATCAGTATACATACGTTGTCAAAAGTGTCTGGATGTATTCACCTAGTTTTTGGCATTATCTGCATGCCATATGATAACTCATTGGCATGATCACCTCGGAGACATGAAAGAGATGCCGCACAAGGCATCTTGCTGATGACCTGATGCCGGCTGTTGCGAGCACGGTTTTACCATGCTACCGCGCAAGATATTAGTTTTGGCGTTTTATCACGACATCATGTTCATATGATTATTGATCGGTGCCAGAGGGCTGATGCCAAAAACCCTCTTACTCCGTTTCACTATCCACTCTTCAGGATAAAAAAAATCGTTAAATATCTTGCATTCAGGGTCCGAATTTGATACTTACCCTGCTGTCCTCCCGCGGTGCTTACATAATCATGCGATAACATCATTATCCTGAAGCGTCCCTCTCGCCTACTTGTTCGGGAAGACGACGAACGAGCTGCGCACGATACATCTGTTTTGTTACCACCTGCACCTGAAGCCCCCGGTGCCGGCGCGCTTCCGTGACCTTGCAACATACGCCAACACGTGCACACGCCCCCAGATCGCGAGCCCGGCCGCTGCGCCGTTCACGGATGCCGGCGGCGACTCTCGGCGCCCGCTCCTGGCGCTGGGAAGTCGTGGCCGCCGCGCACGGGCCGGCGCACCAGCCGCACGGACGGGAGAGCGCCATTGCTGGCTCGACTGACGGCCGTGTGCCGGACACGCACCGACGGGCCACAGATGACTTGATAAGCGGGCAACAGTTTCTCGCCACACCGCATGATAAATTTACTGTCCGCACGGGTCTGCAGGGGGACGGGACGCACGGACCACCACGGCTGCACACCTGAGTGCCCGTAGCCTTCCAGCGAGCGCGCGGCGGGGGTAAAAATCCCGTCTCGTTTCCGGCCGGCCACTGCACCCCCGCCTGCCGCGGCGGCTTAATTATTCTCACACTTCTCATTACCTCCTGCGCCCCGGCGCTCTGCTAATTAGTCGCCTTCAAGGATATGGGGCCGGCCCGGAGCTGGCGGCTGTCAGAAGCCACGTGACGCGAGACGGTGGAAGGCGGGCAGGAGAGTGAATGGCGCCGATCAGCAGCGCTTGTATGTTGTTGCAGTCATAGGTGCGTCAGCTGCTAGTCAGGCGGCGGCAGCAGCGCCAGCGTACCTGACATTGAAAATGGCTTATAATGGCTCACAAGCAGCAGTCGCCGGGCACGCTGGTAATGAGTATGGCGCCGCAAGCACCGCGAACGACTTCAGTGCTCACCAACACAGGCACGATGTCAATGGGCTATTTCGGGATATCCTGGTTTACATACGTATTTTCAGTCTTAGATCGCATCGAAAAACAGCTGGGGAGGATCATTCTTTTTTTTCAAACCCGCTCCGGAACGCCTGAGCTACACAATGCACAGATTAACCTTTAACACAACGGCGGCACGACCGTTCCCTCACACAGTAACAGTATTTATTGTGTGACCCTGTTGCTGCAAGCTTTGGTCCCTGTGAAACAGCATTGCTAGCAGTGTATGACGTTTGTGTGTCTCTGAGTCTTTCGGCGGCGGCCTGTTTGGCTGCATTGGCTCTTATCACGACACCATAGGCCATAAACCAAGCACCACAGCTGTTGCAAAATGTGTCATGCAGCCATATAAATACCATACTCAGAACGCAATAAAATTCGCCACGTGACGTGAGGTGTCACGATTTTGCGCTCATCCCAAGTTGCAAAGCGACCTCGCTGAGATTCACTGCGCGGCCAGCTACCCGCGTCCGGAAACAAACCGCGACACTTCTTGAAGGATCCACAGTTGTATGAGATTTTTCACTGAAATAGCCATCTTGAAGATCGTCTGGTGCTGTTCACAGCCCTGTCCTTCTTAAGACCCAAACGCCTCTAGTTTCTGAGCTACACGCTCGCGAAAATGTGCGGCCTTTTTCGTGCAGACTATTTTATGGTCACCCAAACATCCATGACGACATATTAACATCGTCCAATCCTGCCATTCCACTGACCACGGGGTGATCAAGGCCCGGACAAATCTAATGGTCGAGTCGTTCATTCTAACGTTCGTGAGTACGATTTTCATATAAAACGGACGCCAGTTGGCTCACAATCAATATTGTGTGAGGTTCGGTGGCGTAATCAAACAGTGACACATTGAGAAGCATATTTATTAAATAGAGCAATTGTGTTGCTTAGAGCAGTCTGTTCCGCTTAAAAGTATGCCAATAGTTAAAGGTGAGTCTATTTCAGCATAACTGATGCATGCATCAATATCTTCAGATGCGAAACATGCGCTTTCAGGCGGGCGCCGCGTGGATGCTCCAGAGAGCTATGAGCTCTGTTCGACGCGGGTACATGGCTACCGCGCGGCCCACAGGTGGCAGGCATGCAGGAGCAGAGATGCTCAGTGCAAAGAGTAGCAAGATGATGGGTAATCGTGCCAGCGTGTTTGTTTTTTCAACGCCTGATGGCTGCTGCAAGGCAGAGAACTGTCACGCGTGATGAGGATGCAAGGCAGTTCAACGATATATCCCATTCACCAGCTAGCGCACAGCAAATCTCCACCTAATATTCAAAACCTATACAAGTGATGCAGAAGACTTCGTGACCACCATCAAAGACCAACGCAAATATTCCAAGCCGGGACCAGTAAGGACTGGCAATCTCACGGGAGTTGACGAAGCTAGCAAGCTGACTAACTGATAGCAGAATACCGGTTTGTCACACACAGCAAATGCAGCAAATCTCGGGCATGGCTCCCGCTTACCTGAGACCGGTCACCAGCTAGGGCACGGCCCCCGCTGACCTGGCCGGTTACCAGCTAGGGCACGGCCCCGCTGACCTGGCCGGTAACCAGCTAGGGCACGGCCCCCGCTGACCTGGCCGGTTACCAGCTAGGGCACGGCCCCCGCTGACCTGGCCGGTTACCAGCTAGGGTATGGCCCCGCTGACCTGGCCGGTTACCAGCTAGGGCACGGCCCCCGCTGACCTGGCCGGTTACCAGCTAGGGTACGGCCCCGCTGACCTGGCTGGTTACCAGCTAGGGCACAGTCCCCGCTGACCTGGCCGGTTACCAGCTAGGGTACGGCCCCGCTGACCTGGTCGGTTACCAGCTAGGGCACGGCTCCCGCTGACCTGGCCGGTTACCAGCTAGGGCACGGCCCCCGCTGACCTGGCCGGTTACCAGCTAGGGCACAGTCCCCGCTGACCTGGCCGGTTGCTAGTTAGGGTACGGCTCGGCTGATCTGAGACCGGTCGCCAGCTAGGGCACGGCCCCCGCTGACCTGGCCGGTTACCAGCTAGGGCACAGTCCCAGCTGACCTGGTCGGTTACCAGCCACGGCACGGCTCCTGGCTCGTCACTCACCTCGTCCAGTAGGGCTGCGTACGTGTTCTCCCTGTGCTGGGCCTTGGCCAGCAGCTCGGCCAGGTCGGTGCGCAGTTGGGCCAGCTGGGTGCGCCCGGTCTCGTGCTGTGCGAGCAGCAGCCGCTGCGCGTCTTCCAGGCGTCGCATCTCCTGTTGCACCAGGTCGAACCGCGCCGCCGTCTCCTGAAGGGCGCACGCAGCCGCGCCAGTCAGCCGGGTCGGCAGCGGTAGAAACGCGCTCGTGTCGGGGGGGGGGGGGGGGGGGCCAACTGGTGGTCGCAGAGGCACTTACGGCAAATCACGGCCAGAGGTGACCGGGGGGAGGCTGGTCGGTGCGGTATTGATCGATGTTGACATTTATATTAGCCTTGAGTGAAGAGGCGTTGTTCACGGATCATGAATAACAAAGACGAATTCGGGAGTAACTTAGTCGCCTCTCTCACCAGCGTATGGCATGCGACGCACTGGAAAAGAAAAGGGCGAGGTGTTATCCTATTTGCCTTACGGTGCAGCTTATCCTTTGTTCAGTACATAGACAACAGACACGCATACGGAATGTGGAAGGCATCGTGTTCACAACTTGGGATTCGTGCCGACCAAAGGCTTCGAAACAAAACTCACTCGAGGTGTAATGATCCCGTGCGACTTAAGGCTGACTGACGCGTGCCTGACTGCATGTAAAGAAATCCCGCCAGCCCCGGTACCGAACGCGAATTGAGGGTTCACGTCCACTGACGTCGGCTTGAACACGTCCCCGGAGGCCGCAAACGACGGACCAGTGGTCGCGCCCGGAATCGCCGGATAGTACACGATCAGCGGGATACGTAGATAACATGACGCCCGGTCACGCTGCAAGAGCCCGTCAGATGCACGCCGCGTGGCCGCCGCTAACCTGCCGCAGCTGCAGCAGCTGGGTTGTGTTGACGCTCTCAGCCAGCTCGGCCAGCTGGCGCTTCAGCGTGGTCACCGTCTCCTGGAGCCAGAGCACCACGGTGTGGTCCGGTCCTGCCGCAGGCGGCGGCGGCGGCGGCGGCGGTGGCCGTCTCTCCTTCAATACTCGGATCTCGTTGCTGGAAACAACGACATCGCTCAACATAGCTGGTTTGGTGGCTTGTTGACTTCTGACTGTCAGCAATAGCCTTTGGGGGCCTTACGCTGCAATTAACCGTCGCTCAACGTATCACGTTTCTCTGGTTAGCAGACGATATCCAGCAGTCATTGAAATATATCATGAAAGCTCTCTATATTTCCATCAATGCCCGTGCTCAGCAGTCACTCATGAGAATGGACACCACTAGAAATGTCCTGCACTTTCGTAAAACATTTCGCTAATTGCTTTATATTTTCTTTTCAGCAGCACCTCCCAGTATAACTATTCTCAGCCCGAAATGGCGGAAAGAGCGGAGCATACCAAAGAGGGGGAGGTTAAGTTATGTCTTAACTCTGCCGACAAAAGGGCAGGATGGACGAGATTTTAGGGAACTAAAGGTTGTAGCACCCAGGTGCCCCAGCACCCTCTAGGTCGTACCCCCTCCCCCCGAAGGGGAAACGACCTGCGTCAAGTTTGCTTTTCTGATGTGGCGGCTCGGGTTCTTCGAGTTCCGGTACGCCCATCTACACTAATATAGTCAATGCAGTTGCTGGCGCTTTATAAGAAGATTTGCGACGGAAGACTTCCTCTGCTAGATCTGTAACAGATTTGGTTGGAAGTGAACGTCCCGGACCGCAAAACTGCACAGTGGCCACGTTATGTCCCCGGAAGCAAACCAACAATGTTACTCGGCTTGTCCATCTCCTCCGATTAGCCACGCCTCCGAACAGCGCGCCATGGAGTGCTGTGAGTACGGCGCTATCATTTCGGGAGCACTCGCATATTTACTATTTGCCGCTCGCTTCCGCGAGAGTTTACGGGTTCAGGCTGTTTACAAAATCTTGTATGAATGCCGTCAGCATCAATTCACCCAACGCAACGTATCACTGATGTCAACGGCGAGCATCCGTGGTCTGAAGCGACACGCTCTGAACGCGAAGTACGTCTCAGTTGCTGCCCCATCACGCCCCCCCCCCCCCCCCCCACCAACGCATAACCTAGTCACGATCTCTGGCTCGTCGGCCGGCCGCACCGAAGCCGCTTACCGGGTGGTGCTTTTACGGTAATGGGGCTCGCCGCTAAACGCTGCGTTTTGCGCGCAGTTTGTCGGCGGCTGCGGCATGTTGAAAGCGGAGCGTGACGGGTTCCGGTGCCCCCCCCCCCCCCCTCCCTCGGCCGGCGGCGGATCCGCACGTCTGCCACGGGCGCAGACAGTGTAAGAGCTTGGCACCCGGGTGTACCGTGCGTTAGGTGGCAAGTTCCGTAAGTCGGTGCGGACTAGAGACGCAACTATTCAGCCCGCCAAGCCGCAAGAACGCGCAGGTCTTTGGTTGGGTTATGGGCCATACGTGGCGGGCTTTTGGGGTCAAAAATTTTGGGAGGCAAATTGAAGTATTTTGCTGTTCTTTACGTTTATGAGCAATGCCCAAGCCAGTGTGCTGCCAAACATAAAACAATCATGAAACTAACATATTGTTTCAGACCAGTGACAGAAAACCCATGGCAGACATGACACACTAGTAAACCGTGTTGCATAAATCATACAGTTTGAAGCAAACATCTCACTAAAAAATTCAAGATTAATGACCCAAATTTTCAAAAACATAGCCTTATTTCATTGGGCAGCAGTTAAGTAGATCCTTTATGTAAATAGAGCTACTCACTGCACTTGGCAGTTATTGTGAGGGTGTAGTGCACTCAACATCTTTTTGTTTGCACAAAAACAATATTTTATAACTTACAATCAATGTCCATGATAGAGAAAATGCACAGGAGAGTGAGACCCTTCCATCTCCCGAGCTTCACTTACTTGTCCATACACTCAGCAGTTACAGACATGTAAAATGCGCAGCAGTTGTCAAAACTGAAAAAGTAGCGGTCTGGAGTTTGTTTGTCTATGTCTGCAGGAGATGCCTATTTGCAGCCTCGACTGCATGCACTTACACGATACCGTTTTCCCTCACTGCGATTGTTAGAATTTTCAACACATTTTTCGCATGGCCTTTTGTTCCGTCTGATTTGATTGTTTTTCGCAATCTGATATCTGTATGTAGCTCTGCGTGAAAAATTTATCTCAGCATGTGACGTCAATGAGGCATTCGACAGACATCGAAAGTTGCAGTCTGCAGACTTTGTAACTTATAAACAAGTTCCTGAAAATTATTTTCACAACTTTTGTTTGTCTTCATAAGTGTGTTTCTGCACCATGCAACAACATATCACGGCTTTTGATGCCATTGTTAATTATCAATGACACTGGAGGGACAAATATTCGAAGACAAAAACGATTGCAATCCTCGCTTCCACGTGGCTTTCACGCAGCATTACATAAACCGGGGTAATATCAAACAAACACAAATCGCGTGGCGATGGTTGTGGGATGGAACGCGGAAAGTTGTAATAGAGAAGTGCGGATCATTTCAAAGCTACCAAGGGGTGTTTATGTGGTGTTGTTGCAAAATGTATCCAAAAAAGGACAGCAAACACTATATAGGGGGCTGGTCCTGGTTCTTCAATAAGAAATTTGACATTGTGGCAACTGTGACGCAGTCGAAGGGTGATTGAGCTTATATGCATTGTAATGAACTGACACTTACGATGACTTCAAAAATCTGGCATTTTGTACCCCGCCAGTGCAAAGCTATCAGTCGATGCACGCAGTTCTGTAAGAAATGGCCTGTGGTCTATTGAGATGGGGTAGAAGGCGGAACTCTTTGGAACATTTTGGTGAAAGGCAATTTTCACTTCTACTCTCGTCCTTCACATTTGTTGTTGAAACAGTTACTAGAGCGTTTAAGATCTACTTTGGGCATTACCAATTCCACTGTGCAGGTACTTTGGTTGCTGCTTCCTAAGCAATATGTCTGGCGTTGGCCAACAATGCCGTATATTAGACTACACATGCCATTTATGTACTATCAGTTTAAAATTAAGGTGAAGTAATAAATGGCATATTGCAATATATTAGTACTTGTGGGTTAATGGCGAACCAGCATTGTAGCATAGCACTTTCGCTGGCTGGGCCACTATATAGGCGGGGCGGGCTGGGCTGCGGGCTGATATTTTGGAGGAATCTGCGTGTGTAGTGCAGACATTGTCGTACTGAGGCACGCCCAGGAACCTCGTGAGGGGGAGAGGTGCAGAATTCTGAATCATCGCCATGGTCCTTATGTTAGATCTTACCCAATGTTGAAGGTTCTCTGCACATGGCCGAAGGCGTTCTGGTTGGCTCACGTGAGATGTCTGTTTCGTGCGCGCTTAGTGTGTACGCTAGATGGGCTGATGCTGCAATGAATATCTAATGGCAGATGCAGTGAACAATGCGCAATAATTTGGAAGATATGCCATGGTGCTGAATGGCATTCTAAGCGTGCATGACCTTTGAAAGCACACTGTCGCTTATCGATTGAACTAGTAACTTGCAAAAAGAGTTATGATATACAGGAGCGCGGTTTCTTTTTGGGGGGAGGGGGCCTCCAGCCCCGCGTAGACCCACAGTTATCTTCTGTCTGAAGGTCAACCACCAACGCGTCCTCGCTGCCTGCATCCTCCTCGATCTCCGGCCGCCGGCTGCCCACGTGCTCGTTCAGTGTCGCGACCCAGAAGCTGCGCGCGGACACTTCTTTTGATCCCATCACTATTCAGGGACTGTCACTGTGCGCCCTGATTGGCAACAACCTAATCTGTGAAACCAAGGTAGTTTTGGCTTTTATGAAGCAAGAAGACTTTAAAATAATCTACTCACCCGTTTAATCAGCGAGTCCTTATATACGTAACTCAGGTGTGGTCAGTCAGCGCGCCTCGCGTGCGACACTCGCACGCACTGAATACAAGAGAGATGTGTGACACTTCGATGGGTGCAAAATGACCGCTGTAGTCGAAGCGCCCCCAAAAATCCAAATATCATCAACGTTGAAAAAAGTGGTCAAATCCGGGGGGAAATCGTTTACTGGCGAAATTGGGGGTTATTTTTCAATATGTTCACGGTTCATCCCCCTCCCCCCCAAAGATCACTGTACAAAACTACGTCCCTGCTTGGATGAACCATATGGAGTGAGTGGCTTCAGTTGTCTATTTTATTGTTTCCAATGCGATGTTTTCCCTATTTCTCCTCCTCAGCTCGCACGCATCGTATCCAGCAATAGATGAACACAATATGTGAGGGATTATGCAGTGCTTAGGCTATGTAAGAACACATGGACCTGTTTTGTGTATGTATTTGTGTTTACTTCCTTATAAATACAAATGCGATGTGTAGGACGTTGTATGTGATTCTCTGCAAAAAGTCATGTGCAGCTTTTCTAGGCTGCCGTGTGAAATGATACCTCAACAAAGTGGCACATGCGTTTGCTGGATGACATATCCTCGGCATCGAATGTAATCTGAATGCGTGTTATAAGATGTTGCAAATAAATGCAACAACCTTGCGTGTTCGAACATGAACTAAGCACTTCAAAATCCCGCAACGATTATGTTGAGCTGTTGCATGATGCAGAGCGTTTCCACAATCGTGAGGAATCCACGAATTCCAGGCAAACAAGCAAACAAACAAGAGGGACTCGGGTTTGGTCTTGCTTGAATGACCACTTTCAGTCCATTGGACGCAGGCGACTTTTTACGTCGCGACGGCGGCGGCTGCCGTGACGGCCAGATCAACGGGTAAGTCGCCTGTACATTGGGCTTTACTTACTCCGCTTCGCTCGCTCACTACGTGGGGTGCCGTTAGAGTGGCGGTTCGGCTGCGCGTATGGGAGACCAAAGGTAAGGGGTTCGATTCCCCGCGGCACCCGCCATTCTTGCAAGGGTGAGTGGTGGAAAACACCCTTACAATCTCAGCAGCTGAGTGCGTCGTGAAGCCCACATGAAAACTCGTTCACTAACTGCGTCTCAGCAACCAGCTGCATAACCAGGTCGGTTTTTGTGGAATGCGTCGCCGGCTGTCAGCTGCTTTACCACCATTATCTATTGGTACCTAAATTAAAGGGTATACCTACCTCACTGTGAAGTATAAATCAAAACACCGGCATGTCCACGTACGGGAATCAAACTTATCAGACACATCCACGAAATGTATGATCCTGAGCCTGATTTGAATTGATGCTGACAAGTTACAGTGGCATTCTTTTTCGCGTCGCGTGGCAATGTGCGACAACGGTAACGATGTGGCAAAAACCTGCTGCAAAGATATAAATTTATAAACAAAACTTGGTTTCATTGCGTCTTTGAATACCCTGAAATAATGAGCTACCATCGTTGACATACATTACGATCATCACAAAAGCCAATGCCAGTGAGGGTCGCCGCTGCACGGGCAGTGGCTACATGCCAATCAAGTGTAATTGCACTGTCATAGCGACTAATTTTGTGGAAGCTAATTTATGAATATTAGCCAACAATTAGGCAAAGTGTCCGGAAATGTACACGGCCTCTCGTTCTAGTTCGGCCAGAGCTTGGCCTTTGCCATGGCCTGCTCGCCCAGGTGGATATAAGTCCCGCGAAATGTCGCCGCCATGAGAGGACATGTAGCATGGTAGCCAAACAATGCGAACTGCTCGACCGTATTGCGCAGGTGATTGGTGTCGTGGTCTAAAACATACCACCGGACCGCAACACCTCACCATTAGCTGCTACGAACAATGCGGGGGCAAGCCTAGCGTTCGCTGTAATTAATCACGTTTGCTCGGCGCATGTTTTGGTGCAGCGCAGGACAGTTGGACATTAACAAAGTCATACGCTGGATGCATACCGGCATTGATGCGATCTCATTTTTCGTTTTACTTTCAAGGTAATCGGAACACAAACCCTTACCAATGAAAGCCAACTCAACAGTGTTCGTTGAAAACTAACAAAAGGTCATGCAAAAAGCCACCAAATACATAAAAAAGTAATGCAATAATCAACAGGGAATAACAGCCAAGAAGACAATACGCCTGATACATGCCGGCATTGATACAATCTCATTTTTCGTTCTGTTTTTAAGGTACTCGGAACACAACCCTTGATCACTGAATGTCAACACAACAGCGTTCGTTAAAAGCTACCAAAGGTTCATGCAAAAAGCCGCCGAATGTAAGAAAAGTCTAGACGATTTTCAACAGTTAACTAAATCTCTGTCAGCTTAAATCTATTATGGGCTTCAAACTTGCGCATTGCACGAGATGCCTGCCAGGCGCGGTTGTGGCCTTCAAGCCTGTGCATCGCACGAGATGCCTACCATGCGCAATTATGGCCTTCAAGCTCGTGCATCGCACGAGATGCCTACCAAGAGCGGCTTTCCCTCGTTGAGAGAGCCGAGAAGAGGTGCGTTTTTAAGGCAGGTTTGAGTGTTGCTCAGTTTGCCGTCGTGGCCTATCTACCGTGTCCATGCTGCTCCACCAGCTGAGTTAGAAAGACGAGAGAACAAGCAAGAGAGGTCTGAGACCGATAAGAACGCACAAATCACTGTATAGGAAAATAGGAAAGCCTAAAATATCATCAGTGATTTCTAGGAAAAACCCGTGTTCTGGATGCGACACACGGGCTGGTCTAGGGTTGCCTCTTGGGTCCAGTCCTCGTCCTCATTCTAACCAACGGCTTGACGCAACATATGCTGTACGGAAAGTAAACAAACGTACTCTGATGCCACACAGTTTCTTGACGCCGAGTCACCGTTAAACTTTCCTGAGGTGACAGAAACATGTACATAAAATTTCGGTAGTAGCAGGTAATTGATTTACTGTCTGAAACGTCATCCTCTCAAGACAGAAACGATTCTTACTAAATTCCGCCTGCTCAAAAACGATCGGCAGCTTTCCGTCACGTTTGGTAGCAACGAAGTAAAACACACTGGCCTTCATTATTCTAGGTGTCACCATCGATTCGTGTCTTTCACAAGAAGAACACGTCGCCATCATCGTCCGCCGCTGCCACAGCATTTTCATGAGACTTGCTAGCATGCGACGTGGCCTTTCCAGAGGATCTAAACAGGTGCTGATTGAGGCACCACTTTTTCCCCACGTGCGATTCCGTGTGTCGGTGTGGGGAGCCGTAACGTGACACAGAAGTGAAGGATGACACAAAGTCGACGAACTTATATGTAAACGCGTTATCATAGTCATGCGTAATATCCTCAGTCACCCACGCGTCTGAGACGCTGCGAGAGTGTGTGGTGCGCCGTTTTGATTTGTCCGCTCGTGCCATTCGAGCAACGGACGTCGAGCAGCTGCTGCTGCCGCGTGCCCGGGCTGGGTTTGGGCTCAGGTCGTTCATGTTTCGTGCATCTAGCGAATGGAACTTACTGCCTGCAAACGTGCGAGTGACAGCGGTTGCGAAAAACGAAACCCTTGAGGCTGTCTTGGCTTCCCATTTGTAAAGAAGATGAATAATCTTGCCTTATTATACCTGCATACATACGTTGTTTGTGTTATTAAATATCGTGACTAAAGCGCGTACATCGGCATGGAAGCTCAAAAATCTACTTTGTGGGCGTTCCTGAGTGAATAGTTATTTATTTATTAGTGCGGACTGAAAATACGACAGACAATTTGCGTTAATATGTTGTCGTGTTGGAGTTGAGTCTCGAATTCCAACAAGAGCTGAATCTACCATTCAGAAACGACAGAAAAACGCTGGTTTGTGCGAATGCATATTACTCCAATTTATATTACGGATTATGAAGCCTGCACCACAGTAGTCCGTCCGCTCCCAGCAGGTGTTGCTTACACACTGGTCTGGAATCTAGACAAATGCTGACAAAAAAAAAACGCCGAAAACTTAAATCCACCTCCCATGCTTTTATGCAAAAATCCACTTATAGTGACTAACCAGTCCTCTACAATATTTAGACGTTCCAGACATACCACACAGCCCCCCACAAACAGCAGATGCCGCTACGAACGTTACTGCAGACCATATGGTTTCTGCAGCGCCAAAACGTCGGAGCATGGCCACCCCCACCACCGCAGGTCCTGGCGCTCAGCAAGTGGAAATAAACTGCACATTCAGTTATATTCCTTTTAAACTTGAGATCTTTGATCGATGCTAGCGACTACATGCTGGCTCGAACTGGCAAATCTCACATCGGCTGCAATTGACATTCCTTTCATATTGACTTCGACCGCTGATATCTTTGATTTAGTCGAAAGTCGTCATAGAGTCGATGAATACGCCACTTGAAATAAGGATTGAGGAACCCTGTTCGCTGTTTTGCACTGTTTGCTGACGAATGTGTCAGTGTCCGACGACCTTCCACTAGCACACAGGATGCAAGAGGATGCATATGCCCCTCCACCGGCAGAGAAGGAACTGGGACGGAGGGAAAAATCAAAAAATTTGTGGAATTTAACACAACACATCTTGCTGTTGCATGACAAAAAGGGTCTTATATATGTCATACTTATATGCCTTTTGCACGGTACACAATCTCTGTCGTTACTATGAAATAGCGTGACCCGGACCATGGTCTGGGCGGACCAGGGTCGGGCCGGACCATGGTCTGGACGGACCAGGGTCGGGCCGGACCAGCTGTGGAGGAAGTGGTATGGGTGCTTTGGGAGCCACCGAGCCAACTGTCGCTTCTTGACTAGAATTCAAGTATCACAAATTCCATGTCCGTCTTCTTTCGGTATCATGATCCAGCTCGACAAAACCCGGACAA